GTGGAATGGGGAAAAATGTCAAGGCCTAGAGACACGTTTTTTAAAAGTTTAACTTATTTTATCTTAAGCTCTGCGTTTGAAAGATGCGCGACACCAGTGCAGCAGTCAAACATGTTAATTTAGCAGATGTTTATATAGAAAACCAATGGAAAAGTAATGCAATGGAATAGTAGTTTGTCCTAGTTCAGTCTCATCTGCTTCTTTTTTGACTGCGAAACAAGGGCCAAGGGCCAAGCGTTGCCACCTTGTGGACAAACTAATTACTACGCCTGAGTGCAAACTATGCCAAAGATGAAATTTACGTCGCACACTAATGATGCACAAATAACGAAGTGCACTTACAATGTGTCGACCAAATATTCTGTTACCATATTTTGCGTAGATCATGTTTCTAGTCTGCGACAAGGGGCTTTTTTATTCCAGAGTTATAATTATTGTCACATTTGCTCCAAAACCAAATTTCTGATTTACTGCTCTGTGCAGATGGACTTGCTATAATCCTAGGACATAATTTCAGGTTAACGTTTGGTCTGGCATTCCAGCGTCTCTCTCTGGTTTCTCTTCCATCCAGGCGTTGCGACCGTAACCCTTGCATCCAAGGAGACAATGCCTGTTTCCAGGCCCCGGTCTCCATTAACTTCCACTTCATGTCCGTGGTGTCCAATATGTCCACGCCCACCGTCCTCTTCCGGTTGTCCGCGGCTCGCATCCTGGGCGACACACTGCGCTTTGGCCTGCTGGGGAACCGGGGAGTCCAGCACTTCAGCGTCCAGCGCTCGGGCAGACTGACGGGGCTGCTGGTGTTGGTGAACTCTGTTCAGGGTCCCGCCACGCTAGAGCTCGATATAGAAATGAGCGAGATGGAAAGAAGGGTGCTGCTCGGGCGCTACGTCACAAAAGTCACTCTCTTTGTGTCGCCGTATAACTTTTGAGAAGCAGGAGACAGATGATGGACTGATATTTGGAAATCATTTACAGGCGAGATATTGGGGACTGGGCCTGCGTGCCAATTTACGAGGACAAAAGAAAACCTACATATGGTCAGAGTAATTTAGTTCCTCAGAATAGAAAAAATGCATTAATTTCTTCTATTTGGACTAAAGTATTTATGCATTGTTGTAGTTATTAACAATATGACATGTAATTTTGAAATGTGAAAAAAAAAAATCCATTCCTTTAAAGGAATTTAAAGACATTCTGGGACAAATAAGGATGTCAAAGACAATAAAAAAGAATAAATCTTTTAAAATGTAGCTTGAAATGTGTCTTTTTTTTTTTTTGAATTAAGCTTTGTGTTCAGGCTGGTTTAATGGGTTTAAAAAACATACCATTTTCAAGGAAAATAATAAATTTAATGACTTTAAAATTGTCATGTGGTGTAATTATCAAGCAAATTCTTAAGTTCTTTATTTATTTTTTTTATAAGAATTATCATTAAAACAATGAAAGTTTTTTACCTTGAAATATCAGTTTCACAGTCATTCTTATGGTACACTGACTTCTTAAATGTCGAATGGTCATTGATTTCTTTCCCAAATGTTCTGTTCTGGGACTATATAAATTCGGTCAGCGAAAATTACGAAATTCCCCCGAAAGTGTGGATTGCTTTACGGCAGCAACAAATGCACCAGTGTCCCAACACTATCAGTGCTAAATAGTATTTGAAATTAGAATCAGTGTCTCAAATCATAGTATGTTGAAATGAGCATCTCAAAGGTCCCCGGCTGGTTTACTATTTCTGCTGGAAATTCAAGATCCATGCACACTCTAACGGCTAACATTACCCACAACCCACTGCACGTTAGATGAGGATTTGAATAGAACTACAAATGCAACTAAAAAAAAATACAAACGTGGCGAACATGTGAACGATGGTTGAGTAGAGAAAGGGGTTTGTATAATTAACAATCAGTATCTAACCTGATGAGAACATGTTTATTCAATGTTATTCTCTTTATTTTTCATCTGCAACAACACTGCAACTTTTCTAAAAAAATATGTTTGGCCGTTAACTCTTAAATGCATTATTATGCAAACACAAAGAGTAGAGCGCATGGCATAAAAGACATGCGACTGGCAGATCAACATGCCTCTTCATTTCTCTTGAAATGAAATGTGGAGGATGTTAACTGACAAGAGGATTGACAGGCCATTTTAAACTGTGACAGGATGCACATCAATTAAAGATGCAGTTATGACAAAATAGTATATCCCAAATCTTGCCTACTCTAAAAAATGCTGGGTTGTTTCAACCCAATTTTGGGTCAAATATGGACTAACCCAACTGTTTTGGTTATTTTGGTTACATTTTTAAATTAACTTTTTAACCCAACAGGTGGGTTAGTCCATATTTGACCCAAAACTGGGTTGAAACAACCCAGCATTTTTTAGAGTGTACTATTCGATAAATACCTCAAGTAGCATTATCATTTTTTACATCATCTCACAACAGAGGCAGATGTGGCTCCACTGAAGTACAAACAGAAAAGTGGAATGTTTGTCACAAAATAGTGGGAATGTGGCACCCCAGTGTCATTCTGGCCACACAAGACGATCCAGACCTCCTCTCTACACTCTTGACCTTTACGTGTGTAAAGAGGTGGCTATATGAAGACACTCACACACAGACGGCAAAGATTCCCAAACCTGAACCATTATCACGCTTAAACAGGACAAAACACAGCAGATACAAACCATCAGATCAATTTTATTAAAACGGTCCAATTCAACTCGTACAGAACAAAACATGAGAACGACAAAAGAAAAGCGCAGTTATTGTTATATCTGTATAGTACACAGTTTAATCAGATGCGAGGAAAAATACTTTTCATAATAAATTTGTACACAGAAAGTAAATACAAAAACAATGAATCAATTCGTCATTTATCCTTTGATCATTTTTATGCCATATATCAGTTTGACTGACAGGAAGCGGTGGTTGGGAGCAGATGACACATACACATGTAAGGAGTTTTTCAGTGCTAGTTTAACTCATTCAGAAATAATGTGAAAACACCTGCACTCAGTCGTCGACAGCCATATACCGTGATAATGCGATTCAATAATTGATTCAAACTACTCGCAGAGGAATATGAAACATCCAGAACGGCCCGGTCAGATACTTTAAAAAAACCAATCCAATCAAAATTAAACAAAATTATTTTAAGTATCTGACCAAGCCAATCAAAAGCAATTACATTTAATTTTTGTATTATTTATTTTTTTGACCAAGCCAATCAAAAAAACTAAAATTGAAGTATCTGACCAAGCCAAAGAAATAAAAATATGAATCGTTTAATTTTGATCGGCTTGTTCAGATACATAGACACACACAAAAAAGAAATAAATAAAAATAATTTAACTTAAAAGACAATTAAGCCTATTTTATGATCTTTTAAATTTTATTTTAGGGTATTTTAGGAAATAAGCAGACGACACATATTTATAAATGAAATATGTGGCAACCAACACTAGATCTCTGGATACCAAGCCATTCAATTCTATTGTCGAGTCCAAACAGACAATGGTTTCAAACTCGTCAGACCCTGTGAATGAAAAATGGTACTAATATATACAAACACCACAGTTTAAGTGAATTGTATCAATATATACACCTCCTTCAATGCATAAAATAAATGATTTACAGGTAGACGAAGGACCTTATTTCTCCGCTGATAAATGAACAACAGAATTGGGAAGTGGAGGGAAGAGCTGTACTGGTTTAACCGCTTTGAATGAAAATGTCAAATATTTGGCTGAAATCAGTTTCTTCATCTTTGCAGGAAACCCGGATCACGGTCATGAACTGAAGCTTTTATAAGCAGGAATATAAGCATTGAAAGCACATGAAGCTAAAAGGCCATTAGAGTGCAAGAATTCCCCAACATGGATACATTCAACATCATGGCCTGGAAATAATAAAGCAAAAATGCATGCAGAAGCATATTAAAGCACAAGCCGTGTGATTTCATTTGAATAAGTGTCTATTTTTGTTGGTCAATTTGAATGTATCCTTTCCTGTCCTTGCTTAAAGGGATAGTTCATCCAAAAATGAAAATGTGATGTTT